AGGAAGAATAAGTAAAACTCTAGGCAGATCCACTGCCCTTTCTGCAGATGATGAGAAAAAACTTGCGGAGTGTCTGTCTAGTATGGAAAAATGGGGTTTTGGCCTTACAAGAAGAGAACTTCTCGATTTGGTGCAGAACTACGTGAAGAGAAACAATTTAAACACATGTTTCAAGAATGGTCGCCCTGGAAAAGACTGGTTCCTCCAGTTCAAGCAAAGACATCGATTATCATTGAAAAAACCGCAAGCCGTTGAATTTGCAAGAAAAAAAGCAGTAGATCCATTCCCAATCAATGAATATTTCGATTTGTTGGAACAACTTATTATTAAACACAAATTTGATGAGAAACCTCATTTAATGTACAATTTGGATGAGTCTAGCTTTTGTCTAGATCCCAAAAAGTCCAAAATTGTGGGAAAAGTAAACACACCATCCTCCCGAACTACAAGCGGACCAGCCAAAGAGAACATAACGGTGCTTGTAGCAGGAAGCGCCACAGGACATAAATTGCCACCAATGATTATATTTAAGGCGAAATATATTTGGGATGAGTGGATAGCTCCGGAAAATGTTGCATTTCCTAACACGGCGTATGCTGCTACCAAGAACGGATGGATGGAGGCTGACGTCTTCCTTCGGTATATTGAAAAAACTTTTATACCAAGCGTACCGGATGAAAGGCCCATATTATTAATTTATGACGGTCATTCGACACATGTGGATGAACGCACAATACGTCTGGCCATTGACAATAACATTATTATCCTGAAATTACCACCCCATTCTAGTCATTTACTCCAGCCTCTTGACTTGGGAGTTTTCAAGGCAATGAAAGATGCATGGGATGCTAAACTTGTTTCCTGGCAAAGAAAACATATAGGGCAAAAGTTATAAAAAAAAACCTTCTCTCAGTTCATTGGAGAAATATGGACGGGAGTAAACGAAACCAATCTAATTAATGGATTCCGCAAGGGGGGTATTCATCCATTTAATCGCCTTGTCATTAGTCGTGAAAAATACGACCCCGAAGCTCTACGCAGATGGGACAATAAACAAAACTCGGTTGACATAGAAATTATTCAGAATCCCCAAAATGTTCTTAACACTCAAACTCCTCTAAATGTTCCTGACATAGAAGCCCCATCTACCTCTGGAATATCGAGACGTACAAATGCAAATGATATTATCGAACATAATGATCTAAAATCCAATTCATTCGAAAGTTTAATGCTACAAGAAATTAAGCAAAAACAATGTGACGAGAAGAAATCAAAAAAGAGGGTAGCCATTGGGGCCGAGGTCATAACTAGCCGGGAGGTACTCGAAAGAATAATGACAAACAACAAAAAAGTCGAAAAATCCCAGCAAACCCCTAAAAGGCTTACAATAAAAACTAAAACCAAACCAGTCAAAGCAAAAGATCCTGAAAGTTCCGAAGAGAGTGACATTTTAGAAGTGGAAAGTTATGCAGGTAGTGACAGCGATGATGAAACTTTAGAGGAATTGAAAATGAGGTATGAACGTGAAGAAAAAGAGACACAGGAAGAGGAAGATGAACGACTGATAAGCCATCAGGCAAATATTAAAGTTGGTACTTGGGTCTTAGTGGAATTTGCCACTAAAAAGACAAAGAAATTCTTTGTAGGGCAAATATTAGAACTTATTGACGATGAGATAAGAGTAAAATTTTTAAGAAAGAAGGAAGACACGGTGAAACCTATATTCTACTGGCCAGAAGTGGAAGATGAAAGTGTGGTCTCCGAAAACGCTGTAATTATGCCTCTTCCAGAGCCAAATCTTGGCAGAAGAGGGGAAGTAATATTTTCGGTTGAATTTTCAACATATAACGTTCTATAAGTAAGTAATAAGTAACTATTTTCTGTTGTCACCAAGGAATTTTTGGGTAGTGTTTTGCTGCCTATTTTTGGTTAAAGAAGTTGTGTTTTAGTTTTGTGATGTAATTTCCAATATGTAAGAATAAAGACCTTTTTTCAACTCCATTGATTTTTCTTTGTAAAATTCATCATTTTTTAAATAGTTCATAACTTCTGTATTTTTAGGAATTTTTCAGATCTGCAAAAACTATGTTGTAGCTTAAACCGCATATTACAAACTCACTTGCCCCAAAAAGATGCAATGCTGTGTATATGCGGTTTACCAAGACGAAACCCACTTGCCCCAATAGCCGGGGCAAGTGGGTTGGAGAGACCGCATTTATATTTTTTTTTTTTTTTAATTTTGCATAGGCAATAGCTACAATTCCAGGGTATATTAACAACATAACCAAGTAATAACTGTCAAAAGATGAAGTCTGTATATTTTCTTTTGTAAAAGTTACACGATCCCAAAGTCAACCTTTTACATTTTTAGTACCCACTTACCCCACCTGACCTTATAATAAATTATTCACTAGAAACAGGGACTGTGCCAAGTTTATGGAAAAAAGCTTTAATAATTCCTATATCCAAAGTAGACAACCCTAGCTTAACTGATTTACGACCAATAAGTATATTGCCCACTGCATCGAAAATCCTTGAAAAAATAGTAAAGAGGCAACTTAACGAATTTATCTTATCTCATAGTATTTTACCAAAATTTCAATCAGGCTTCAGAGCTGGTCATAGTTGCACTACAGCATTACTTCGTATAACTAGTGATATAACTAAAGGTCTAGACTCTAATCATTCTTGTCCTCTCATTCTAATTGAAATGACGAAAGCATTTGATACCATTAATCTTGAACTATTACTGATTAAGTTAAATATTTTTAAAATAACTTGTAATGATTGGTTTAAAAACTATCTCACAGGAAGTGAACAAGCCGTAAAATTAAATAAGGATGGAGAAATAATTATTTCGCAGTGGAGGCCAGTTGTGTCTGGTGTACCTCAAGGGTCAATTTTGGGGCCCATACTTTTTGCTATCTTCACTTCAGATTTACCTAAAGTCTTAAAATTTTGTTCATACCATATGTATGCTGATGATTTACAGATATATATGGAAGTACCTAGTGATCGAATGGTAGAATGCAGCGCTGCAATAACTAGCGACCTAACAGCAATATCAAACTAGGCAAAAAAAAACTCACTTGTGATAAACCCTAAAAAAACTCAAGGAATCCTTATCACAAAGGCAAATATTAATATTGAACCTCAAATCTATCTTGATAATGCCAAAATTGAGTTTGGGGATGAAGTTCAAAGTTTAGGTTTGTGTATTGACAAACACTTTACTTTCAATAGTCATGTAAATAAAATCTCACAAAAATGTTATTTACGTCTCAAAACCCTTTTTGAGTTTAGAGATTTGTTACTGGTAGCAACTAAAAAAAATCTAACAGAGTCTCTTGTTTTGTCAATTCCTGGATATCTTGATGTTGTGTATGGTCCTTTTTTAACTAACTTTAATAAATACCGTATTCAAAAAATACAAAATTCATGTGTGAGATTTGTGCACAAGTTGTCGCGCAAAGATCATGTCAGCCAATCTGTCACAGACACCTTTCATAACAACATGGGAGAGAGAAGATTTTTGCATCTCTGCTGCCTGATTTATAAAATTATAAGGAGTTCTATTCCTATGTATCTCCTCGAATTGATGGTTAAGCGAGGTGATATACATCAATTTAACACACGTAATAGATAAATATTATTAAATATTCCACAACATCGCTGTGAACTATTCAAGTCCTGTTTCACCTACTTGGTAGCACACACATATAACTTGTTTCCACAGATGTTTTCATTGAATATAATAGGATTTGGGAATAGGGTAAAAAGTGAAATACGAGATAAGCATTTATGTCTTTAATGTAAATAATTGTATCCCAATGGGGGTTTGCCACTGCCAGTATCATCATTTCAGGTTGTGTAATTATTGTTATTCAAGGTTTTATATTTTATACGTTTTATATTTCATATTTTATACATTTTATTTTATACATTTTATATTTTATACATTTTATGTACTTATTGTGATGATTATTGTGATATTTTATTATATCTTTACTTGTTTTAGTTAATAAGTGATATTAAATTATTGAATTGGTGGTTATTAAAAAACGCTTTGCGGTCTAATCACCATTTGATGTGTACAGGGTTTTTCTCTTCTTTGTTCTCATCAATAAACCGATTTTTATTTTATTTATTTATTTATTTTATTTATTCCTCAAGAATATCTAACCAAATATAGCGCATCCCATTTAAAAAAAGCTGAAAGCATGCAATATTTCACATTTCTTTCATTCAATTTTTGTTTTTGACCATGGATTTTAAAAATTTAGCCAATTCTGTACAACTTTTGTATTTACACCTTTCATCTACCTGTAAGGTAAAGGCTGTAGGTGTAGGTGGGGTGTCAATACATAAAAAAAAAACCCTATAAATAATCCTATTGATTTCATATAAATATTCATTTTATTATTAGAACAAAAAAAAAAAAAAAATACATCAACTCAACCACTAATGATACTCTGTTTAAGGTTGAAGTTCTTGGACAAAGACAAAAGTGTGTTTTTCTTATATATCCTGTTCACAATCCGATGTCCACAGATGCAGGTAAATTTATCACCTTTCCCTATCAAAAAGCATTGAAAGGTGATAAATTTTACCTGTACCTGTGGACATCAAATTGTGAAGAGATAATAGGTTTCCAGCTTTCTAAACATTCTTAAAACTTATAGTATGGTTTTGTTTTCTTTAGTCATTGATAAAATAGTAGTGAAAGCTTCTTACAATTTACACAAAATTCACAAGATTATAACAAATAATAATTCTTAAAATATAAACAATTTCTCTTGAAAAGTTTAAAGGTTGATGACAGGCCCTCGGTCCCATTTCAAATACAAAATGCCAAGGCAAATATTTGCTGATAACAAACAAACTCCAATGCATTTTTGTTAGGTTATCCTCAAATTGTTATGTAACATACCAATCATTTATTATACAATATTAAATTAAAATTTAGTTTATCCTATATATTCGATAATTGAATAATTTACCTTTACAATCTTCCTGATTCTTCGATACATTTTTGTCCATATTTTCTGGACGATTTTCGTCGTTTTTTATATCATTATCCACAGCGCCAGGGGCCATAATTCACACGAAAATCTTATATCAGATCAAAGCAACCGAAAAAAACTGAAATCACCGAACTCTTGAACTTTTTCGGAATTTTTTTAAATATTCGTGGGGAGCCCAAAGCACGTGCTTCCAAAGGACAAGTTACCCCCACTTATGTTACAGAAACAGGGGCCCCCTTTTTTCGAAAATAATGTGTCTTTGTTTATTTGATTATAAAAGAAAAAGATAGAAAATAATAGATTTTTTTTTCTTTAAACAAACATGTTATCGAACGCACTTTTGTTTTTGGCAGATTGTTCTTTGACACTTGACAATATTTTTGTTTCTTTCTATATCCCGTGCGTTCGTTATTTTGGTCTGAGTTCTCCGAGCTTGACTTTACCGTTCGTTTATTTAAAAAGTGTACTCGGTGCAGCCTCATTCGCGTTCGTTTATTAAAATTTCCGGTACTTTTATATAGCGTTCAACTGCTCCGTTCGCTCGCTGGTCACGTGATTACGGCTCCGCTCAGCTCGCTCTACACTTTGAGCAAAATACCGAACGCAAGGTTCATACTTTCAAAAAGAGACAAGAAATAGGAGATTACTTATAGCGTTTTCTTTTGGTAAATTTATAGCGTTTTTCATTTGTCGTCTCAGTGCAGTAAATTTTTCCAGTGCAGTAAGGAAATCAAAAATGCATGTACAAGTAGAATTCTACTTTCATGACGTCACTCGCAACCTATTTATCGCGTACAGTACAAGCAATAATGATAGTTTCTAGGCAACCTGACGTCATGAAAGTAGAATTCTACTTGTCTTGATCCCAGTCTAGGCTCTTGAAATCACATTTTATTTAGAAAGAGCGTTTAGAGTGTTTACGGAGTACCTATTCAGCAAGTCGTTCGGAATTGTATACTTTTTGACATCTTTTTACTCTATTCGGATTTTTGAAGTAAAGAAAACTTATTATTCTAACTACTTACTCTGTGAGTACTCTTACCCTGCGTTCGTTATTTTGGTCCGAGTTCTCCGAGCTTTACTTTACCGTTCGTTTATTTAAAAAGTGTACTCGGTGCATCCTCATTCGCGTTCGTTTAATAAAATTTCTGGCACTTTTATACAGCGCTCAACTGCTCTGTTCGCTCACTGGTCACGTGATTACGGCTCCGCCCAGCACGCTCTGCTCTTTGAGCAAAATACCGAACGCAAGCTAAGTCAAATGTAAAAGCAGTTACTTTTTTCATTGTAATGGTTGGAGTAATAATTAGAGTACACTGATTGAGTAAACAGTTATGGAGTAATACTCTTTCTGAATGTACGGAGTAGTTAGAGTAAACAAACCAACTCTAGTGCAACACTTTGTGTCAGTTAGACTGTGCAGTGCAAATTACTCAAAACTGTTCAATTTGCACTTGTTTCCATAATCTAAAAAAACAAATTATTTCAAAAACATATTGTTCTGGAACAGTTATTGTAACCGAACTGGAAATATTTTACACTAAGTTTGCTCCATTTAAATAAACACCAAAGTGTCGAAATTCTAATTTTCGAACTGGAACCTTTAAGTCAATTCCATTTACTCTACTCTGTATAGCCGAACGGTAACTTAATAACTAAATTATTTATAATAATTAAATTATTTATAATAATTAAATTAAATTATTAAAAAACCTCACTCTAGAGTGAGTTTTTAAAATTGTTTGGAACAACTCAGAGCAGCAAATCAAATGAGAAAAATGCCTTTTTGAAACATTTTTAACACCAATTTAAAGCCACACGACGAAGAAAACATTCAAATTGAACATGAAGCTGAAAGTAGCTCTAAAATGTTTTGAGTCGTAGAGCATAGGGTTAATTAAATTTTGTGTTTAAAACTATTTAAGAGTAAGAGAAGTAATGGCTCAAATCAAGATTTATACCAACATTTGACACAAATGTGACTGTTCTAAAACAACACGAAATGAAATAAGTTCAGAATATATAAGTCTTGTGTTCAAAACTGTTCTCAAATGATATAAGAACCATCAAAAATGTGTTCTAGAGTAAAAAAAATAATGGCACCGATTAAGAACTTAATTTATATCAGGATTTTAATCAGAACGTGACTGTTCTAGAACAATTTTGACTGTGTAGGACATTAAACTAGTTCTGGAACTGTACCGAAACAATTCAAATCAACCCTAGTCTACTCTAGAACAATTATAACTTGAAAAAAATTCAGGAAATATTGGGTTTTTATAGTAATACTACTCTGACTGTTCCAACTACATGGACATTGTTTGATCCGTTCACCTGTTCGAATTATTTTGACTCGATTTAAGTTACTCAAGTATGTGAATTCCTTCTACTGTTCTAGTTACTCTAAGTGTTCCAGTTGTTTTAATTTTTGTTCCATCTGCACTAACTCTGTTCTGTTTGCACTGCTCCGATTGTATTTTTAGTAATTCTACTCTGACTGTTTTAAATGCACTAACTCTTTTTGATCTGTTCAACTATTCGAACGATTTTATTCACTTTAACAGTAGACTAATTTGAAAATTAATTTTGGATTTTGAGTAATTCTACTCTGACTATTTCATGTGCACTGACTCTTTTTGATCTGTTCAACTGTCCGAACTATTTTACCTTGACTAGTCTAATTCTACTCTATTTGCACTAATTAGATTTGAATCACTTTAAAACATTCCACTGCATAAATTCTCTCTGAATTCCTTCTATTGTTCGAATTACTCCAATTGTTTCAATTGCTTTCATTTCTGTTCCATCTGCACTAACTCTGTTCTGTTTACACTGCTCTGATTGTTACTTCTCGAACTACTCTAATATACTATTGAACAATGAATTTCTTAACTATAACAATATGCTGATTTTAAAATTAGTTTTGGATTTTTAGTAATTCTACTTTGATTGTTCCAAATACACTGACTCTTTTTGATCTGTTCAATTTTACAAACTACTTTGTTTTAATTCTGTTCCCTTTACACTAAGGGCGGATATTATGAAACTGCTTTGACAGTTAACTTGAAGTTAACTTTTTGAATTACATGTACCATCGTCACCAAAAGTAACTGGGACAGCATCATATTAGCTCTTGTACTATTATATGAATTTTATTGTCAAATATTTGTCAAACTATGAATCAAATGCATTGAAATGAATGACAGGCGAATTAGTCCAGGAGATTATTATGCATTATTTTTGTCCCAGATACTTTTGGTGACGATGGTACCTAATTCCAGAAGTTAACTTCAAGTTAACTCTCAAAGTAGTTTTATAATACCCACCCTCAATTGATCTAAATTACTCTAAGCATTCCATCTGCATGAATTCTATTTGAATTCCTTCTTTTGTTCGAGTTACTCCAAGTGTTCCAATTATTTTAATTTCTGTTCCATGTGCACTAACTCTGTTCTGTTTACACCTCTCTGATTGTTAATGTTCCAACTACTCTAATATGCTATTGAACATTACATTTAATAACTATAGTTTTTTTTTTTCACAGTCGAACTGGGTCGATCCGGCTCGAACCTGTCCACTCTTACGTTGAACCAGTGACGTCACGTTGAACTTGGTTCAAAAAAGTTATAAGACTGTGGTTCAAACCTTCCATTTTCTCGAGTTCACAAGTGATGACGTCATCTACAAATTGATCTGAACTATAGTTCGAACCATTCGCCTCGCGAGAAAACGCCTTTGATAAAAATCGAGTTCCAAATTGTTTTAGAACTGTTTTGTTATTGTTCCAAGTCTATCTAGGACTGATTCTATTGTTTTCAAATCGTTTGAGAACAGCTCCAAACATACATATTGTTCTAGAACAGTCATATTTTGTCTCAAGATCCTCATATAAATCAAATTCCTTATTGTTCTGGAACTGCTGCTGATCTTGAATCATTTGAAATAATTCTGAACTAAGTTACCGTTTGGGTATACAGAGTGGAGTTCACTCCAAAAGTACCAGTTCGAAAATTGGAATTTCGACACTTTGGTGTTTATTTAAATGAAACAAACTTAGTGCAAAATATTTCAAGTTCGGTTACAATAACTGTTCCAAAACAATACATTTTTAAATTAATTTGTTAATTTAGATTTTGGGAACGAGTGTAAATTGAACAGTTTCGAGTAATTTGCACCGCACAGTGCAAAAAGTGTTATTTTAACTGACACAAAGTGCTGCACTAAAGTTGGCTTGTTTACTCTAACTACTCCATACATTTAGAAAGAGTATTACTCCATAACTGTTTACTAAATCAATGCACTCTAATTATTACTCTAAGCATACAATAAAAAGAGTAACTGTTTTTACATTTGCCTATACGGAGTGAAGTTAATGTAGCTTACTGCAAAAAAATTGTTCTGGTGTAACAATTAGATTGAAATCTTAGTAAAGTTACACCAAGGTTGAATTTAGCTTATTCACTCCAAGTACTCCGTCTATATTCTTGCTAAATATGGAATTTACACTATTTGCTCCAATATCCAAACCCGAAGAGTTTCAGAGTGAAAGGTGTCAAAAGAGTTGCTACCATCATTTTTGAAGTAAATCTTTTGGAGTACGCTCAATCCTACTCCATTTGCTCCGAAAACAAACAAAATTATAAAATAGTATTATTCGTAAACGCGCTGCGGACTTTTTTATTCCAGGCTCACTTGAAAACGTTTGCTCTTTTTACTCTAAAATGATCTAAAAATTGTTCCGAATCGGTATTAGGCGATTTCATTAGTTTTAATATAGAAATAGGATATTCTGGAGTATGCACTTTTAACTCTAATTTTATTAGCTCAATGATCGGGGTAAAAAGAGTAAGTTTATTTGTGTGCAATAAACTTCTTTTTTTAATTCTTGAAGTTCCATTTACTCGCAACTCTGTATAACTAATGTGAACATAGTTACTCTATCTACACTAAATAACCAAATTCGAATATTAAGAGTACTCACAGAGTAGTAGAGTAATAAGGCTTTTCACTTTCTTTACTCCAAAAACCCAAACAGAGTAAAAAGACGTCAAAAAGAATACAATTCCGAACGACTTGCTCACTCTAAATACTCCGTAAACACTCTAAACGCTCTTTCTAAATAAAATGTGAATCAAGAGCCTAGACAAGTAGCATTCTACTTTCATGACGCAGGTCAAACAACACTCATCATCGTTTGTACTGTACGCGGTAAATAGGACGAG